TCCCAGTCCTTCTGGTTTAGTACCAATATGCTGGCTCTGTAGTACTTGTTGACATTGATATATTTTTTTTTTTTAAAGCATGAGACCAAACCAGTGCAGATGATGTTCAAGAAAGCTAAATTTAACATGAGCTACATAGTAGACTTTCAGACCAAAATCCTTGACCTCCCTTATGTTGATAATGAGACTAGTATGATCATCCTGCTTCCTGATAAAATCCAAGATAATTCCACTGGCCTGGAACAGGTAAGCCATTTGTACTGAATAAAAAACTCAAATCCTGCCAGAGAAGAGCATTTGACTAAATCTCAATTAGATCTGTGAAGTCAAGTCCCAAGCTCTGAACTCACCAGTATTAGCACAGGGTAGGAGAGCTGAGGAGGCGTTACATCTGTCCCCCAAGAGATGGGAATACCATGTGTCACTGTCAAGTAAGCCCAGCTCTCTCTGATGTCTAGAGAAATGTTAAGTTGTGAAAAGAGAGACTTCTTGACCAGAGGAGGGGTCACCGGGGATTGAAGACGATCCTGGAGAGCTCCATTCAAGAGCTACTGAATTCCTTTCTGTGCTATATTGTTACTGGGCTGGCAAGGGATGGCAAAATAGTAATGCCTCTCCCACAGTAGTCACCTCTGCAAAGTACACTTCATTACTAATGACAACATGCAATAGCATTAACTTGTCACCATGAAAGATGGGCTTGTGACGGTACTTGCATATTGCACAGTGGGACTCCGATCCTAATTAGAGGGCCTTTTGACTATATTGATATAAGAATGTATCTGAATGCCATTTATTGTTTGCTTCTGACTACAGCAGTAGCATTCACTCCAGACCAGGGGAGGATGCTAATCCCTACTGTGTAAACACACACAGTGGGCATTGTTTCATTAGTATAAATTCCTGGCTTTTCTTCCTCTTTAATTTTGACCTATTTTCTTTTAGCTGGAAAGAGAACTTACCTATGAGAAACTTACAGAGTGGATAAATCCAGAAATGATGGACGATAGTGAAGTGGAGGTGTGTTTACCCAGATTTAAGTTGGAGCAAGCTTATGATCTGAAGCCTGTTCTGAAGAGCATGGGAATGGCTGATGCATTTGACAGCAACAAGGTGGATTTATCTGGAATGTCAGCCAGCAATGACCTAGTTCTGTCTGAGGTTGTTCACAAGTCCTTTGTGGAGGTAAACGAAGAAGGCACGGAGGCAGCAGCTGCTACTGCAGCAGTGATCACTATGCGATGTGCACTGATTGTACCACGGTTCACTGCTGACCATCCTTTCCTCTTTTTTATCCGGCACAACAAAACTGGCAACATTCTGTTCTATGGCAGATTTTGTTCCCCCTAAAAAGAAAAAATGCAGCCATTAACACAGTAAAGTTATTTCCATTTTACTATCTTGGGATTTTTTTTTGTACTCTAAGCAACAAGCTTTGTATAGATGCTGTACATTACATGGTGCAACCCTAAACACCCTTCTCTCTTGTGTGCCTGAAACAGCTTTTTGTAGTCCTCTATTCAAATTTAAGCAACAGTTTTTTAAATAACAGGATCATTTAATATCTTTTCCAAGTGTTAAG